AGCAGCTGCGGACCCTCGTCCATCTTGCTGAGGGCCGCGACCAGCAGCTCCGAGTCCGCAGGCGGCGTTAACGGCGACTGCGGAGGGGGTTCGGGGTACGGAGACTCGTTTTGCGCCAGCTTGACGGTGTTGTGGGGACTCGCCGGAGAGGCTGGTGAAGACGCGATGCGTGCGATTGCGCAGGTGGAATCTGGGGGTGGTTCGCGATTGTCTCGTCCGATAAAAACGCGATTGGGTTGCGGCAGCGGTTTGCGGGCTGTTTGAGTCGAAAACGGTTCGTGGAGACGTGGGTTGACGGGCGACGGGTCGAACAACTGTCCTGGACGACGGCTCGCTGACGTGTGGGAACGGGTCCAGCTAACGAGCGGTGCGAGGATCGGAGAAGTGAGATAATGGTAGCCCTGCTCTTCAACTGTAAGATTTAAATAATCCTCTGCTCCGGGGAAGAACTGCCAGTGAGGGTAGGTGTGGCGGATGAGGAAAAGGCAAGGTTAGAAGACGGAATGGATGGAAACGTGGAAACCGACGCCAAACTCAGACCCAAGAAATTATCAGCGCTCGCAATGCGCTGTGCTCCAGGCGGGAAATCTTAGGTCGGCGCTAGGTTCCAGCGCACTAACAGAGACCCATCGGGCTGTGCTAAGCGCGGTCGGCGTACTGATTGGCTGGCCAGCGATAAGAGGCCATCATCCCTGTTGCTCGGGCAGCCTTCCGCGCTGCGCGTCAGAATCCAAGACGGATTCACGATCTTCGATCGGATCTGGGTCGTTTAGGTCTTCTTCTTCTTCTTCTACTTGAGGAGCCGATCCTTAGTTTGAGCTCACGGTTGGAGCCGAAGTGCGGAGGAGCACTTACCTGGTGGATTCTTGCCTTCGAGTCGGAGTAGAACATGCCCCGTTCCAACATGCCTTGGATTTTTGCGAGGAGGACATCCATGGATGGAAACCCACATCTGATGCTTTTCCGTTGTAATGAGAGCGACCTCTTCATTTCATCATAGTCTGCTGTCGTTCTCTGCTTTCCCACCACTTGAGGACCATCGAGAGGTGGCAGATGCCTCCGGCTTGGAGGTGCGACTGATCACCAGGAATGACGTTGAAGGCGAACTTTGATATCCTGCCTTGGCCGATTAATAGGTAGCTGCCTTGTCCAGGCCTGAGCAGTTGTTTTGAAGATTTTAGATAAGATAGGCGATAACTACGTTCGAACTTCCATCTTTGCGATAAGAGCTAAGCTCGGAAGGGATCTAGGCCTACGGCATGATTACTTGTCCCGCCTTGGATCATTCGCTCATGAACCCACTGATGTGGTTCTCAATTGTACCTAAATCTGAATTGAATCTCTGTTCATGATTCTGTTCGCCAGTGGGCGATGCTGGTGGCATCAATCCTGAGTTGGAGTTTCAACTGCTGCCAGCTGCCAATACCTGCCCCACTCAAAAGTTTCGCAGGCTCGCTCTCCAAAATTTCCTGGAGAGCATCAAGGTCCTGCAAAAAGGACCAAGTCCAGCAAGCTTTCGCTCCAACACTGCGGGAATCTGATTCTGCTGTCTTGCGATTTGATTGCAACTGTGTATACGACCAAACAGGAGAACACTCTTTTCGTCAAAATGCCGTCGACGCACAAAAAAGAGAAGCCGTGGGACACGGACGACATCGACAAGTGGAAGATCGAGCCGTTTACCAAAGATGATGCGCCCGGCCCATTCTTGGAAGAGTCTTCCTTCATGACGCTGTTTCCGAAGTACCGCGAACGATACTTGCGCGACTCGTGGCCCATCATCACTAAGGAGCTCGACAAATTTGGCATCACGGCGATTCTCGACCTCGTTGAGGGTTCCATGACGGTGAAGACCACAAGAAAGGTGCTTGCGACCAATTCGACCTGCCTCTGTTCTGCGCGCTGACATGTACGCATAGACGTTCGACCCCGCAGCCATTCTGAATGCCCGTGATCTGATCAAGCTCCTCGCCCGTTCAGTTCCTGCCCCGCAGGCGATTAAAATTCTGGAGGACGGCATGGCTTGCGATATTATCAAGATCCGAAGTATGGTACGGAACAAGGAGCGGTTTGTCAAGCGGCGACAGCGTATCCTGGGGCAGAACGGCACAAGTAGGTTGCGACGCCCCCACCGCGGAAGAGCAATACTGACAGGCGGCAGCACTGAAATCGCTGGAGCTCTTGACGCAAACATATATTCTGGTGCACGGAAACACAGTATCGGTTATGGGGCCGTTCAAAGGGTTGAAGGAGGTTCGACGAGTGGTCGAGGCCACGATGGAGAACGTCCACCCCATTTATCTGATCAAGGAGTTGATGTAGGTGGCACCCGAAAAGCGGATGTGTTGCGGCTGCTAACGGTGACTAGGATCAAACGAGAGCTCGCGAAAGATCCAACGCTCGCCAATGAAGATTGGAGTCGATATCTCCCCAATTTCAAGAAGAGAACCCTCTCAAAGAGACGTGTTCCTTTCAAGGTGGCAGACAAGTCCAAGAAGACTTACACTCCCTTCCCGCCAGCACCGGAAAAGAGCAAGGTGGACCTGCAAATCGAGAGCGGAGAGTACTTCCTGGGCAAGGAGGCGAAGCAGAGGGCGGTCGAGGCAGAGCGAGCCGAAAAGGCCAAGCAGAAGAAGGAAGAAAAGAAACGGGAAAGGGAAAAGGAATTCGTGCCGCCAGAGGAGGATGCGGGCAAGCCAAAGAAGCGAAAGAAGTCGCACGAGTAATCGAGGCCGGGCCAGCCGAAGAAGGGCCTGTTGGCTTGTACCAGGAACTCATGATACCCAACCACAATTCTCTGTTGAGCTGTTTGGGCGGTGTTGGTGCGTGGATTTGTCAGTTGTTGGGCCGGCGCGGAGTTGGTGGGTATGTTGACAGTCCATCGGCGTCTTGCCTCGGCTCGCGAATTCCTGCGGGCGCGGGGCAACACGGCGCGCCGATCGACCCGCTCCATGGTTTTAACCCGACCTATTCCCGATGATGTCAACGACGCCCTGTGGCCTCGATTATCAATTGTAGAATAACGTACAGAAGATATATACCGAGCCCGAGCATACACAGCATCGCACTAGTTCGCATCTCGTCAATTGAGCTCAGCAAGCAACATGCCATACTCCATCACAGTGAAGAAGACCGAGGGTAAGCCAGGTCAAGTCTGGTACCCGTAAGTTATTCTCACTCTCACTCTCACAAACCAAATACTAACATCAGTCAGCCTCCAACTCAACGAGGTTCCCAAGCCCACACCTGGCCCAGGCCAGCTCCTCGTCAAACTCTCAGCCGCCGCCCTCAACCACCGCGACCTCTTCATCCGCCAGCACCTCTACCCCGCCATCTCCTTCACCTCCCCCTTCCTCGCTGACGGCTACGGCATCGTCGTCGAATCCGGCCCCGGCACCAACCCCGCCCTCCACTCCAAACCCGTCCTCCTCCTCCCCCACCGCGGCTGGGACTCGGACCCCTCGGGCCCCGAAGACCCCAAAAAGTACGGCATCATCGGCTCCTCCGCCGGCTACGACCTCGGTACGGCGCAGGAGTACATCGTCGTTGATGAAGACGAAGTCGTTCTCGCGCCGGAACATCTCTCCCCCGCGGAGGGCGCCGCGCTGCCGCTTGTTGGTGTGACCGCGTGGCGGGCGTTGGTTACCAAGTCTGGCGCTGCGCGCGCGGGGTCGAATATCCTCATCACGGGCATCGGCGGTGGTGTCGCGCTGCAGGCGCTGCAGTTTGCCGTCGCGATGGGGTGTAATGTGTGGGTTACCAGCGGGAGCAAGGAGAAGATTGATAAGGCGGTGCAAATGGGTGCGAAGGGAGGAGTTAGTTATAGGGATGCGGACTGGGATAGGCAGTTGGCGGGGATGTTGCCGAGGGAGAGACCGGTGCTGGATGCGGTGATTGACGGGACGGGCGGGGATGTGATGGGCAGGACGGTGAGGGTGTTGAAGAATGGGGGGGTGGTGGTTTGCTATGGGATGACGCTGGGGCCGAAGATGGAGTGGAATGTGCAGGCTATGTTGAAGAATGTGGAGTTGAAGGGGAGCACGATGGGGAGCAAGAAGGAGTTTAGGGAGATGGTGGAGTTTGTGAGGGAGAAGGGGGTTCGGCCGATGGTGAGCCGGGTGGTTAAGGGGTTGGAGAATTTGGAGGGGATCGAGGGGTTGTTTGAGGATATGAAGGCAGGGAGGCAGTTTGGGAAGTTGGTGGTGGTGATGGAGAGGGAGGGGAGTCCAAAGTTGTAGGGTGAGGTGGTGGATGATGACTTGGATCCTCAGGACCGTAGTAGAAGGCATCCCCAAATGGCTCGGGTTGCCATTGGGCCGGGGAGGCTGAAGGGCGAGCAAATATCGGTTGCAGCATCCCGGGGTCGTATCAGAGAAATGGAAAAAGGCGGTTGACCCTCTCAAAGGCCGTTGAGCATGCTCTCCGGTGGGTAGCCACGAAAGCTGGCTTGTTCGACTCGTTTCCTGCGGAGCCGCTGAACCAGGCGGATGTGGCACACCGTCGACGCCAGAAGGAGAAGAGTAACCGGTAGCATTTTGAGAGGCATAGCGGTTGGTTTGACTTCTTATCGGTGATTTTGTTTTCGTGATGTCCTGACTTCCCGCGAGTGGGACCGGATGTTCTGAAGACAACAAGCCCAACTTATATTCTCGCCTTCAGCCTTTCTACATGTAACTGAATATGAACAACATCCAGACTTAAAAGAAACAATACAAAAAACCAGGAAAAGACCAAAGCACGCGGGATAGAAACTCTCTGACTCTCACCAAATCCCTGATGTCTCAGAACATACACATACCTTACTCTTGTTCCCTCAACTGATGTGCCCTTCACCTTCGCCTTCACCTTGACACGCACCCACTTTGGTACCCTCATACGGATACACCCCACCATCCACACCCCTGACAACCCCAAACCCCCACTCCCTCCAGCCCTGTCCCACACACCCACCACCCACAAACTTGAGTGTTTTTCCCACCTTACCCAGCATCCAATAACACGGCGAGATGGCCGAGCGGTCTAAGGCGCCACGTTAAGGAAGTTCCTTAATAATATCGATCTTTCGAGGTAGATTCCGTGGTCCGAAAGGGCGTGGGTTCGAATCCCACTCTCGTCATTACTTTTTGCTCTCTCCACCAATTTCGCAAATTTACTCCTTTTTCTTTTGCCTTGTGAGTCGTGCCAAATACACTCCGAGGGAAGTTCACTCATGCCCGCGTCATGAACAAGTTGGAATATCATGTTGTATTACTACCTAGTAAAGCATTTCGCGCATTACCACCACCACCCAATCTCGTGCACCGTGTCGCCAACCAGCGACGTCCGTCCAGATATCCTACATCGTATTGGGTCCGGGAAGTCATCACTTCGTAAAAAAAAAATCATGTCGCACACATTCCAACGCAAGGGCGAAACGGGTTTGCGCGTGCTGTCTTGCGGAAGGACTGCCGGGCTGGGGGTGAAACAAGTAGGCGATTCGCCAACGGCTTCTTCAGCGTTGGCCGGGTACGGGAGGCCGTGATAACAGCGCCGCAGGACTGCTTTCCGTCCACGGTGGTTCAACATTGGGAAGAGGTGTCAGAGAGCCTGAAATTAGACGTAGGAAGCCGACTTCCCGCCCCTCCTCATCCGCACGTAACCCACTCCAATCAGGCCGAGACCAACAGCGAAGGCGACAAACTGAAGGATCTGATCCGAGAGGCCCTTGTTGCAGTTGCTGAGAAGATGGTCCTCATTCTGCTGCCTGGTCTTGTCGTAGTCCCAAAACCCATAGCGCTCGCCTTCTTGACCCTGGTTGATGAGGGCGTTGTTGAGAAGCTTCAGGTCGTTGTCCGTGCCGCCGTCCGCCCTGCACTGCATGCCCTGGTAGCCGACAGCCCAGGCGATGCCGCCAGCGAGCAAGAGAATGGAGGACAAGCCATCGAGGGCGATGTTGACAAGGTCAGGGATGGCTTCAATGAAGAGCCCGACTGCGCCGGCAAGGGCAGCGAAGACGGCGAATCCGCCAGTGAAGCTGCTGTACTTTGTCGTTGTGGGAGCAGAGCCATAGACGTGGGCTTTGACGAGAGCAACGGACAGACCCAGGACTGCGACGCCAAAGATGAACTGAGTAGCGTTAGTCAGTTTGGGTGCTGCTGAAATGAAAGGGAGGAACATACCTGCAGGACCCGAAGGCCGATAGCTACGCCAGCGAGCATCTTTGCGGTGGTCTGTCTCCTTTTCGTGTGGTGTAGTGGAGGAGTGTCGATGTCTGAGGCGTTCAGGAGAGAGGATGGTCGCCTTTTAAAGAGCAACTACCAGGAGATGACTCCGTTAGGCAGCCCGAAGGATCTTCCTACTTATACCCACCATCGAACCACGTCCTTGTCAGGTACGGACGGGCACGAAAGGTAAACGCCACCCAATGCTACGCCATGCTACACCATGACCCACGTTGCTGCCTACAACCGCGGCAGTAGGAGTTGCCCTGCCCAGATCCCTGTGAGATCCCATGGGGTGAGCGTTGATTGGTTGGTACGGTTCCTGAGAAAGGCGAAGTTCTCAGTCTCAAACCCGTTCCTGCGCGGCGGCGGCGTGCAGGGGCTGTATGTTTGCAAATTGACAATGCGGCCGGGGTCAACTGGGCGATGCATGCGGGCCTTGGCCGGTGTTGACATGACCTGAGTTAGCCGGTAGGGTTTGGCTCTCCTTTTGCGACACCAGCGTGGTATCATGCCGAAAATCCATAGGATTGGTATGAGTGGAACAGGGTTATTGGTGACGCTGTGATGCCTTGAGCCGCTGCAGCAGGAATGAAGGATCCAACAACCCGGGGTAAAATTGCGGTTTCTGTGTAACCCCAATCGTGTGGCCCACAACCGTTGCACGCCTGTGCCGCAATATGGTCGTTGGATACGAATTTGGCCAAGGCGTTGCGGTTGATCGTGAGTGCGAGGTCCTGAGACACAGATTGGACGCCTCGGATTAGCGGCGGTCGAGTGTCAGCCCTATGGCTGCCGCACGGGGCTGTGGCTCAACGGATAAAACTTCCTTTTCCCCTCGGATCGCGTTCTTCGAATTTGTTCCCGAGTTATCGGGGCGGCCGACGACACGCTTCTCCGCCTTGCTATCGGGTGCGCAGAACGTAGTGACATAATCGGCGGCGGGTGAGATTTGGCCGGATAGGGGGCCGTTCCGCATGCAAATGGCCGACGAAGATTCCGAGCCGCGCATCGAACTGTCACAGTTATCAAACTCGCACTGCGGCTTGGGAACTGCTGGATGGGCTATTTAGTATCGCAGGGCCCTGGCAACCTCTAGTACAAGCAGATTGTTGATCTGTTGGGAGATGAGAAACCGCCGTACTGGACGATGAGAAGGGCGACACTGGACGGAAGGTTGATCTCGACAACAGCTGATGTGCTGGGCTCAATTCATAGTCTATAACGCGGGTACCGCATACTCTAGGGGTTCGCGCTGCGCTTCCCATAGAAGCCAGTCTGACCGTGTTGTTCTGCGAGGGGTCAGTCAGGCGCGCAAGCTGGTCCAACGGGTGTACCCACGGTAATAATCCCATCGAGTTCACTTTCCATACACCCAATGCCAAAGCCAGCAGCTGCATCGCGACATAGGCCAGCTTCACCTGAACGATCTTTGCGCGGTTCGTATCAGTCTCGAAGCGCTCGAAGGCCTGGTTCGTCCCGAGGATGCCCATGATGGGGTTCTTGAAGGCCATGAACACCATCATGATGCTGAATATCTGCAGCGAGTTGCCCGACATGTACATCATGATGCCGGTCATGGGCAGGCCTTTGACGGGGCCGAGGGCAACCTCCCATGCCTTCTTCAGCTTCAATGTGTCCATCTCTTCGGCGGTCGGGGCTTTCTTCTGCGGCTTTCCATCTTTGGCGGCATCCTTCTTCTGCGGCGCGTGTCAGCTCCAAATCTTGATATCATGCTGCTTGAATAGGCGGAGGCTTGCCTTGGAGCCGGGAGTCTGCGATGACGGATAGCCCGGCGGGTCGGGGATTCCGTTGTTCTTCGATCGGTACGCTGGGGGGTTGCTCAAGTCAGCGACCCATTTCGGTGCCGCCCTAGGTTTCTGTAGTTCGGACATGAGGGGCGCTGGGATGAGGTCGACGGCGGTTGCGACACGGCGCTGCGAGGTTGTTTGACAGTGGATGGTCAGAGGTGCGACGTCAATCTTGAGTGGAGTGAGAGCTCCAACCATTGAACCCGGCCGTTTGACAGCGTGGTGGGACGCGCTTGCGCCCACTTTCAGGGACCGTGCACGCCCGGCCAGACCCCTAGCTAAGCGCGATCGGGGCCGATAATCAACAGCACCGCGTTCAACCGTCAGTCGATAAAATCCAAGACGGCTCGATCAAGCCCCCGAAGCAACCCACGATCCCTCCTTCCCACAGCCCGCGTGCGTGACAAATCGGCAAAGTTGTGTTGGCAGTGGCAGTGGCAGAAGCAGCGCGCAGTTGGCCGCCCGAGCAGACCGACACACCCTCGGCGTGAGGGGTATCGCACACACTGCCGTCCTGCGTGCACCCCAATTTGCTCGGCAGCCACGGCCCAGAACCAGAATCGGAAACCAGAATCGCAACCGGCCGGACTTTGGGGTGGGAGAGAGAGCTGAGGAGCGCAGGCGTTAGGTGTTCACCGGTGGCACAGTCGTTGTCGGCAATATGGCGACGGTTCAAGCAGGAGGCGACTCCAAGCTGTTCGCTCGAGTAAGCTTCACCTTGCTATCACTGTCCCTATCGCCGTCGCATTCTTTATTCCAGGCCCCTGGAGAAGCTGTCTGGGAGAGGTGACGGCCCCCATTCCAGCAGATGGCACATTCTCCCTATTTTGTTGCAGACTTCCCACCCATTTCAGACACTCCCCCCTCTCCCCTGACACGTCCGCGGCCATGCCCGCACAACCCACCGTCGCGATGTTCATGGCATATGTTCCCCCGCCGACTGACTCCCCCTTTCGGGGTCCGCAGGGCAAGGTGGCCGAGCTGCGCCTCGAGCTGAACAGCGGCAGCAAGAAGGACAAGAACTTTACGACCAAGAAGATTGCGCTCAAGAAGATTGTCGCCAACATGACCATGAGCAACAACGACATGGTCGCCCTCTTCCCCGACATCATTGGCTGCATGGCGATACAGAGTCTGGAGATCAAGAAGATGTAGGCGGTTTTGTCGGTTCCGTTGGCCTGCCAGCTGCTGACTTGACTGATGCACAGGTGCTTTCTGTTCCTCGTCAACTACGCGAGAATGCGCCCCGAGATCGCCGTAAAAGCAATACCGGTGTTGGAACATGTACGTCCATAGGCTCTGGTCTCGGTCCGTTGCTGATGTTGCCTAGGACATGGAAGATCCAAACCCCCTTGTCCGAGCGCTAGCGCTGCGGACCATGTCTTATATCCACGTGCGAGAGTTCGTCGAAGCGACAGTGCCCATCGTCAAGCTCCTCCTTCGCGACTCCGACCCGTATGTTCGAAAGACGGCGGCGTTCTGCGTCGCAAAGCTCTACGACCATGATAGGCACATGGTCGAGGCATCAGATCTTATCGACAAGCTTAACAACCTGCTAAGAGACGATAACCCTACCGTGGTTGCGAGCGCTCTGGCGAGCTTGATGGACATCTGGGAGCGGAGTGACGCCATCAAACTCACCATTGACTATAGCAATGCCTCTAAAATGGTGTCGATCCTGCCGGACTGCTCTGAGTAGGTTTCTATCCTCCGATGTGCCGGATACCTACTGACTCTCGAAGATGGGGCCAGACATACATCCTGGAGGCGCTCATGTCCTACGTGCCACAAGAATCCGGCGAAGCGCTTCTCCTCGCAGAGCGCATCGCCCCCCGACTATCTCATTCCAACTCGGCCGTTGTTTTGACGTGCATACGTGTGGTACTGTACTTGATGAACTACATCGCCGATCAGAAGCAAATATCTGCGCTGTGCCGCAAGCTCTCACCACCACTCGTCACATTGCTCGCCAAGGGGCCAGAGGTACAATATCTGGCCCTGAGAAACGCGCTACTCATCTTACAACGGCGACCCGAGGTGCTTCGAAACGACATCCGGGTCTTTTTCTGCAAATACAATGACCCAATCTACGTCAAGGTTACAAA